ATTATGCAGAGAACCAGTTGTACCTTTTTGTTTAAAGATGGCTCATGGCTCAACTCTATCAGTTTGTCAACATTTAATGTTTTAGTACATTATGCTGACTGAAAAACATTGGATGTAAACAGCGCCACCTAACCGTCAAAATGTATAAACCTTTTCATACAGATAAACCCATTTGAATTGAATTAGTTTCGGTTTAATTTACCTACAATTGCATTTAATTAACGTTTTCTTCTAAACGCTTCACCCCGTATCACTTTCTTGCAGTAATATTCATTATTATGTAAAATACAAGTCATATTCTTGTTGATTGAGCGGTTTGTTCTCATTGTGTTTTGCCTCTCAGGCAAGGCTTTGTGACTGACAGAACACCAGTGAACGTGCTCATTGAGAAATATCTCCCCCTGGAGTACAGGAAGCTTCTCATCCCAGTGGCCACCAGCGGAAACAAAGTCATCCCCACACAGAGAAGGTGAACAGAGACTAATCCGCATGAGCTTGTGTTTATTTGCTCAAAACATTGCGTGATTGTAAATAATAAAGGTTTGTTTAATATAAATGTTTGTCGTTTTTTTTCCATGGACACTTTTATTTTATTGTCATTTGAGACATCTATGTGCAAGGTCTGAAGGTCACATAAAAATCACCAATGACGTTTAAACAGGTTGTTGGGATACTTTCAGGGATTTGTGTAAAGTCTGTAGCATACAGTCACCTCACAACAACTTCCGCTGAGAAAGTGCCATTTCAACAACATTGGGCTCCAAATCTGAAATAAACCTCGCATTCAGTTCATATTATTTAAACGCGTGAATAGTCTTACTTTAGATGTGCTGTTGACAATGTTCTGTAAATAAAGCCACATTGTTTTGATTTCTATTTGTGGTCATGTTTAGTAAAAATTACTGTCTTGCTGCCGGATGGTGGCGTTTTTAAAAGCACGTACAGACGCTATAACATATCTTTACAAAAAGTGGTCTGCACATTTGTCAACATGCTTCTTGAAATTTGGAAAGTTGCTTAATAACTTTTGCATCTGTAAAAATCCAGTTCTTGACCCACTTATATTCATGATGATTACATTATTGTTTTAATTGAGTACTTTGAGTTGCTAAAAATTTTAGGGTAATGTTTTACACACTGATGTCTGTTAAATCCTCATAGTTTACTATGAAATGATTCATCTCTTCATATCCACTAGAAACGATGCCTCACCTTGTCCACTAGAGAGCAGTCCTGCTCCATCAGAAGTGACTTTCATTTGCAAACAACTTCACAGTTTATTTAATAGTTTAAGTCCTTCATTCTCACCTTCTCCAATGAACAATAAATGATGAAAGTCCCAATTTCTCTTTCTTCAACCTCAATCTAGTGATGCAAGTGTTTAGAAAGAACCAAAAGCACTGGTTTTTCCCTCAAGCACTGCTCTTTTCTACAGATGGAAACGCCACATGTGAGTGGTTCTGTTTTAGAGCTTAGTGTCACGAGACAGACACTGGGCTCCAGTTTCCTTCTGAAACTCTTTCTCTGGGTTTCTAGAGTCGCTCTTTTCCAGATCCGGCTCACGTTTCTCTCAATGTTGAATATCCAGATGTTGGGTCCCTGTGGCCCTCTGGGGCCCCCGTCCACCTTATGTTTCGGTGACCCCTCTTGCACATTCTCCCCAGTGTGAGTCAGCACTGCCCCACACAGCTCCAGCGAATGCCATCCATCATGTAGAGTTTCATTACGATGTAGCACTTAAAGCAAACACTGATCGTAAACAAAGCCCCCTAGAACAAACCCCAAATATTCAGCCTCGTGATGAAAGATCTGTTGGTGGTCCGCTGTGATTAGCATTTAATCTCTGAGAGATCACTTAACAATTGTATCGTGTGAACTGTCATCCAACAAGAAAACTCCTGGAAGGTCCTGGAAGCTGAAATCTCATTTGTTGATTCACACTCTTTTTCAGATTTACAGGAGGAAGAATTTAGAGAAGCCAATCACCATGTGACTGCATTTGTTGAAATGGGTTCTGTATATAATAATTAATATAATTTCAAGCAGTGATCCGGGGCCAAGAAGCTATCGAAAAAGAAGAACTAGGTTCGAAAAGGAACCAGAAGATATTTTAAGTTGACTTAAGTGAATAGAACAAAACATGGTAAACGAAATCTAGCTTTTTGCTTTGAAGCATTTACAAATGTTGACCACTGGGCGGAGTGGTTTTCAAATTGTGTACAGCATAAGGTAAAATAGCATATCAAAAGTCTGGTACCCATATCACTAATGCGATAAATCAATTTTATTGATCAACTCGACTGGTGTACATCGATGCGCTCGAATGAAAATCTGTTGTTCTCTTTAACGTAATATAACGCGCTCGCCCTCTGAGCTTCCATAAAATGCACCCAGCTCACATTCCACCCCTTGTGTTTGCCACATGTAGTGCACAAACAATGGCCGTGTGCGGTCAATTGATTTTAATTAGATTTTTATATTCATTTTAGATTTAATAGAGTTTTTTTAAATAAGGGTTACATTTTTTTTGTTGTGATCATCCAGCCCTACATTCCACTTAGGCTAGCTTTAAAAAGTTAATAACAATTTTAAAAAATCTTCTGGGTGGTGCTGCAATTTTTTGTGGTCCTAGAGACATACCAATTTTTGTCAAGATACGTTATTGCATTTGCAAAAGCTGGATGTAATGGGATTTTTCTGAGATTTTTTTTTTCTTGAACACTATTTTGAACACAAATAGTTTGTGGAAGAAAAACTGAGTAGTTTCTTTTTTATTTGCGATTTCTGATTTGCGGTTTAAAATGGAATTTATGTGGATGTGATGTTTTTTGTACCAATCCATGATTGTACCTCATTATTTTTTCATGAGTCTGATCTCTCTTATCCTATGAAAACATAAAGTGTTTTAATTATTGATGAATAATACATCAAAACTCTGCAAGTCTTGGGAGCAGTTGTCATTTGTCAGGCGATCTGGTTCATATTCCGGAGGCTTCTATCCCATTTCAGTGTTTCATCCAATGTTGGGCGGCTTACTAGACCCATAAATGGCAAGGTGAGGATTCCGCTTGTTCCAAACCGTATTCTATTCCCACGAAACGATGAGTCATTTTCTTTTTTTGTGGCCAATTCAAATGTGATCGTTCCAAAGATAAAGTTGATTGCTTGTTCTGGGGGTAACTTTCTTCTCAGATGACATCATCAATCCAAAGGTCCTCCCCTAACACTTCAACGGTTAACGTTCTAATCAGTTCCAGGTAGAAAAACAGTTTTCCTTCGTGGAAAAAAGGAGAAATTTCATGTTGTGAGAGAAAAGCTGTTTCCAGATGTTGTATGTTGACACTGGTCTCGATTGGATCTGTTCAGAAGTGAAGTTCTGCAGTGGAAGAGCTTGGTGTGGAGATGCACTAATGGAGGCGTCTTCATTATTTTTGTTAGTTGTGCTTCAATGTTTTCCTCAGATCTCACAGGACCACAGGTTTCTAAGGGGATAATTTGAGAGGTGACTACGTTTTTGTAGAATGTTTGCTGCTGGAGAAGTTTCAGTGTTTCTATTAGTTCTTCTGGTCGGTTCATGCCAGAATTTGTTCCCAGTGAAGCTGATCAATTTGGTCATCTTTGAGGGACTGAGTCATGCTGCAGATTTAGCCAGAAAAGAATGAGACGTAGTCTTCATTCTAGTGAAGAGTATCACAATGTAGAAAGGTCAAGAAAGCTGCGCTGCAGTGTGTTTAGCATCCCCCCGTGCGAGCTCATGTTTTAATTACACTCGTTTTCCATGCTTTCTGAAGAACTGACTCAATATGATTCAAAACCTCAAGATTGAATCACTTCCTGGAAAGCTGAGGTTGAGAGCTGTGCTACCGGAGCACAATGTGGCTTCTGTTCTGTGAGAGGACCGCAGTGTCCAGACATCTTTAGATTGTTGAGTCCAGGTCTACACAGATGTCTCCTCAAATGTTTTTCATTTAAAATCTCCCAAGTTCTTTATTTTATTTCTTTATTATATACATTTTTCTGAAAAATTAATAACACAAAATCATGTTTTTCACTCGTGGTTATAGTGTTTATTGTTTATTCTTTTTAAAACATAACAACAACAGAAACTTTTTAAATGATTCTGAACAATAGTTTATTATTTAGTATTCCCCTCTTTTAACATCAGTGACAGCCCGAAGTCTCTTGAGGTAGTTGTGGATGAGGTTCTTTATCTTCTCTGTTGGTAAAGCAGCACATTCTTCTCGAGGAAAAGCCTCCAGCTCTTGTAAACTCTTGCATGAACGATTGAGTTCTCCCCAGAGTGCTTCAGAGATATGGAGATCCACTCCAGAACCTTCACTTTGATCTGGTGGAATCAACGACGAGTGGGCGTGGCCTTGTGTTCTGGAATGTTCAGTTATGTCCCGTGTGCAGCTTCCGGTGCTGATGATCCACATTTTCTTTCAGATTCGTTTGAGAACATGCTGCATTCATCTTCTCATCAAACTTCCAGCGCCGTTGCAGCTCACACATCCCCAGAACATCATTGACCCGCTTCCGTGCTTCATCGTGGGGATGGTGTTTGTTCATGTTCACTCCTCTACCAATGTAGAGTTTGCGGTTGTGTTGAAAAGGTTCAGTTTGTGTCTACTTTGTGGGATTAGTGTAGTAATGGCTTTCTTCTGGAAACTCGACCATGAAGCACATTTTCCTTCTAGCGTCTCTCGTTGTTCTCCTTGAAACAGCCACATTTTTTTTCGAGAGCCCTGTATTTCAGCTGAATTTTTCTTTGCATCCCTTACAATTTTTCTGGCAGTTGTAGCAGAAATGTTTGTTGGTTTCACCAGAATCCTTCACTTTCCACTCCTTCATCAGAGTTTGAACGCTGCTGATTGGCTGATTCCCAGTTCCTTGGAGATCTCTTCATATCCCTTTCGTGTATTATACAGTGGAACCATTCTACAAATAATACAGTTATGCATTTGTCAAACTCTGTTATCCAAAGTGACTTACATGACTTGCTTTCCGTTGGGTCTGAACCCATGACCTTTGCGTTGCTGCGCAGTGCTCTACTGCCTGAGCCACTGGAAAGTATTGTAAGTCTTCATTCCTCGGATGGAATTATTGCTTCTGCGTTTGGTCTACAGCAAGAGTGAGTAACTGGTAGAAGAGCTTCTAGCTGCTGGGGGTTGATCTGGACGTTTCACTCGTTCCTTTCTCAGTCATGCTCCTCTACATTTTCTTTCATGCTGTGCGGAAGATCTACGGCTTCCTGTCTGAACGTACATGTGGCGTCACTATCCGGTGCTAATCACATCAAAGATGCCTGAAAACCAGATTTCTTGTATCTTCTTACAGCATCTTTCAGTCGATTCTTCCACTTTATTTGAAAAGCTGGATCAGTGCGTCTCTGTCTCTGATTAAAAGCACATGTGTCTCGTTCCCATGATGGTTTACTCTGTGCATCCTTTGCTCATATTTATTTACAGCGGTGTTGCCGAGTGATGAACCAAACAACCCCCCCACCCCTTCCGACCCATAAACGCTGCTGACCCATCGCACACATCTGGAGTGATGGAACTCGATGCCTTCGGGTTGTCCAGGTGTGATGGGGAGCTAGAAGTGAACAAGAGAAAGGGTTTTATGATCAGTTTTTTCACGAGTAGCTTTATTCTGTCGATTGATTGGCTGGAAGGGCAATAAAAGGGAAGTTTGCCTCCAAAATCAACACTCGGTCTCTGCTGTGTGTTTCTAGTCTGCGTCAGGTGCTGTTTCAGCAGCAGTGTTGTGTTTGCAGTGTGGGAGCGGCCGTGTCTTCACACTCTTAAACCACTTTTAATCTCATTTATCAGCTTTGCTTCCCTGGGTCCAAGGCAAGAGTGAGCGAGTGTCTGATTTTTGGATGCAGAGACAGTGCAGGAAGCAGAGCCTGTGATGACATCAGCAGCCCTCTGTTCCAGCAACATCTGGAAATGCTCAGGTTTCAGAGAGAGAGAGAACGCGAGAACGTGAGGGACGAGTACAAACGATGTTGGCATTTCTTCACCACCAGGATGAACTGGTGAGAACAGAAATGGACGTGGCCTGTTGGACCGAGTCTGGGTTGAATTATTGAGGAGTAGGGTTTCCCGGTGCAGCAATCACTTCCCAAACTCTTCTGCAAAGAAACAGTACTGGAATGTTCAACCAAACCTGACTTTCAGTTATCTTTTTACCTTCTCTGTGTCTTTATCCACTAGATGCTGGAAGAAGACCCGCTCCAATGCTCCATCTTCTCCCTAAATCTCAGAAATGGTCAAGAAAACCCAAATCTCGATTGTTTAACTTTGGGGCTCAGTGGGTGGGTTTTCCAACAGCTGGCTCAAGGAAATGCTGTTTTACACATTTAATGTTCTTTACCTCACCTCCACAGACTTGCACAAACACCTCCTGCAGCCATTTGGAAACCATTAACTAAAGGCAGCATCCAGTTTAGCAAACCAAGCGTATCTCCTCGGCCGTCTTTAACCAGTGCAGCAGATTCAGATGCTTCCAAACATGCAGCTTAGCTCTGGGGAATCTGTGTTATATCGTTGTTTACGAAGCACGGTCAGAAAATGAAGGAGAGTGAAATGTACTGATTGCCCGTGTGTGATGTGCATCTGTGAGGAAGAAACGTGTGCCCCGAGGCTCGTACCGTGTAGTACTTGTCTAGCCTTGCTGTACGTACCGTTATGTGTCTGATTTTGTTCCATTTCTGAACATATGATGAAGTACTGACGAGTTCTAAACGTGTGTAATCACTACATCATTACGATTAGTGATTCGTTAATGGAATTAGTAATTCATCAATTTATGAAACAAAATAAAAGACTACCTTCTTTCAGGCAGCAGCACATCAATGTTTTTTTTTTTACCTCAAAGCGTGAAATAATTCCTGAACATAGAGAATTTATTTATTCTTTAAGGTTGTTCATAATGTTATTCATGGGGTTCATGTTAAAGTTGAATGAGTTTTTGGTTAATACCTGTGTTTAGTCATCACTAACTCGTAGTTGTGTTATTGTTAACTAATGAAGATTCATTTCTCACCATTGTAAAGTTTTTCCCATGTTTTTTCCTGAAAGAACTGACTTCACTTGACATGCATCTCAAAAACTATAGCTACCAAAATGTTTTGAAAAACACATAAAATCTGTACATTGTGAAGTGTGCAATCTGCCATTTTGTAGAACTATAGAATGTCTAGGGAATGTATAGCAAAAAAAAAAACTCCAGCGCAAAAGTGTGGGATGTGGAATTCTATAGAATGGGGGAGAAACAACCTAAAATGTGCAATCTGTCATTCTATAAAATGCCTTCGCAAAGTATAGAATGTGAAGAAACGGCTCTGTGTGCAGTACGAAATTTTAAAGAATGCAAAAAAATGACAACAATGGGCGAAGTGTGCACAAAGCAAAAATAAAAAAAATCATTCTATAGAATGCCTGGGCAATCCCATCTTCTTTTCCCTGGTGTTGCTCTGTTGGAAGGAAGTGTAGAGTCTGGATGGGAATCTCACGGCGTTATTTGCTAATGAAGGTCTCTCATTTAACTAAAGGCACCGGGAATTCTGTCGAATGCTTAGAAAATGCACAGAAAACGTATAGCAAAAATCTTTGCAGTTGTTCAAAAGCCCTCAAGTACTCTATACATTGCCCAAGCGTTCTACAGGAATTCTGCAATGTCACACTTTACCAGAAAAATGTGAATTTATCTTTTACAAATATTAGCACAACCATCGAGAACGAAGCAACCAATCACAGAGCCTTCTGCTCTGTATCAACACTTCAAATCAGGCTTGTTATAGTAAAGGTACAATTACGTATAAAGTACAACACTGCTCCTCGAGGAACCATCCGCCTTTTTCTGGTTCAGTGTGAAAGAATTTTTGGAAATGCAATCCTGAAGTTATTCTTCCCCTTTCTCTCTCTCTCTCTCTCTCTCTCTCTCTCTCTCTCTCTCTCAGTAGTTATGAGTAAAAGGGTTCGTATGGGGACCAGGAGAGCCCTTGGCTGCAGTGTTTCTTCAGGCCACTAGTGGGCACATCGTCCTAAATTTCTCTGAAGTATCATGTGATGAGCTCCACTGCAAAAATAAAACAAAGTTTGTACTCGGTTACCCTAGACTTCAGCCCCTCTCCAACGACCTTAAGGTTTGAGTGAAAGTCAGATCTTCTGGTCTTTATTTGAAAACACCAGAGAATAAATAGTGACCAACTTAAGTTTTTAACTTCTGACTCTGGTTATCCTCTTTCAGAGCAAACTCTGATTCACGCTGCTTTGCCAAAAACGAGGCAGAATGAATGTTCTTGTAGTGTTCTTCAGTCTCTAAGAGAGGGATGGAGCAATGATTTGCTTGACCCGCGGGATAAGGTGGAAAGAATGTACCACAGCTGGTCAACATGTTAAAGAGGAGAGAGGGGAAACGGAGGAGAGAGAGAGAGAGAGAGAGAGAGAGAGAGGAGCAGACATGGCTGATGGGGGTGGGTTTCTTGTTTGTGTCATTTTTTCCACATTCCTGTTCTGACCAATCAGCAAGTTCTGCAGCTCCCACTCAAGATATCACCCAAAGCTTGGGTCTCCTTTTCTATCTGTTTGGAGCTTCAGAAGGCTTCCATCAAAGCCAATGAGGGGTTCCCCTGAAACTGTGTTCCACAGGTTGATTAATTCAATAAACACAGTTTAGCTGAGGTTTAATTTGGAGTTTAACGATTATTATTCCTTCAAACCTAGAACATGATTCACTGGTCTTTCTAAATCTTCCGGGATATCATCACTGACGCTTGGTTTTAGCTCTTTAGCTTCTAGGGAATGTTCTTGTAAGGTATTCTGCTTGTTCCATGGATTTGCAGACATCTTTTAAGGATTAGTTTTAGGGTGAAACACTTGTACTTTTTGGAACATGGAGATGCTTTGTGGAAGCTTGTGTTTGGGTGTCTGGGTTTCACTCATTCATGGTTTCTGTGAACAACACTCGGACTCTTAGAAAGAAAGAGTTGTTAGAATTTTATCACTACTGACTTTGTTCTAGAACAACAGAGTTGTGAATCCTTGTTTCTAAAACAGATTTTGGTTCTAAAATCTTGAAGGTAATGTTACTTTTTGAGTATTAAAATCTGTTGCCTTGACTTGGTTGTAAAACTTTCCTTGTGTTGATGTTCTAAAGGTTACTCACCTGATGGTTCTTGAATATTACAATGAGTGAACCTTGGTTCTTGTAGAATATGGAGTTGAGATCAGATAATCATTCTTAAACTGGTGTAAAGGGGAAACATTTGATGAGACCATTGGTTCTAGAACATTATCGGTGCTGATTCTTTTGAGTTCTAATGGTTAGGCAACCTTCAAAAGATTACAATTATTTGCGGCACTCCAGATAAAAGCTTTAGTTTTTGACAGAACTAACACATAACAATGGAGGGGATTCTTGATATTTGGTTCTAACTCAATTTGGGGACACTAGATTTGATACCTAGAACGTACATTTTGTGGTTTCCTGGTGGCAAAGCTCTGGACACTAGATTCAGCTTCTAAAACATAATCATGGATTACTCTTAGTTCTTAAACAGCAAAGGGTCACAAAATATTGGTCTTAATACGGTGCCCTAGAACCCTTGGTGTGCACTTAAATTTAATTTTATTGTTATGTGTAGAAGGTCATGGAATGTTCTGACGTGATCAAAGAGCTAAATCCTAAATTACCTCACGGTTCATGTTAACTCTTTTGATAACAAAGAGCTACATTCTGTGGAAGCGGATTTGCTTTTGTTCAGACTCCAGTTCTGAGGAGACCAGTCCATGGATGCTCCTAAAAGAGTCTCAGACCACCTCACCATGAGTCTGCGTAACATCATCAGCCGATGTCTTGTTCTTCTTTTTTTGGTCCATTACGCTGTAGGAAAAAGCCTGAAGATTAAACCTTGGGGTGCGGAGGCTGGAAGTCTGAGTCCCACGGCAGGATCCCTCTGTCTGGAATGATTCAACGGGAAAACATCCCTCCTCAAGCTCAGCACCCCCCATCCCCCCACAACCCCACACACCTCGTTTCTACATTTATGGGTGATTTCAGAG